CAGGTGCGTCCACAGTAGGCCGGTCCAAAATTTTTGCGAATATCGGCGGCCGATCCGATACCTGGATCCGATCGGGACACCGATATTCGCAAAAAATTTGCACGAAAGTGGCGATCCAGTCTTTTTTTTTAAAGTCCGATCCTACACAAGTATCTAAGTAAGTAGGCTAAATAACTTTAAACTTTAATACAGGTCCTAGAGGCTCATTTTGGGTCCTTCTGGGTCCTACAGACTCATTCTAGGTCCTACAGACTCATTCTGGGTCCTACAGGCTTGTCCCGATCCGATATCTGGACCGGATTGGCCGCTGATATTCGCAAAAAATCCGCAAGAAAATGCCGATTCAGTCTCATTTTTAAAAGTCCGATCCCACACGAGTATCTTAGTAAGTAGGCTAAATAACTTTAAACTTTAATACAGGTCGTACAGGCTCATTCTGGGTCCTTCTGGGTCCTATAGACTAATTCTGGGTCCTACAGGCTTGTCCCGATCCGATACCTGGATCTGATCGGGACACCGATATTCGCAAAAAATTTGCACGAAAGTCTTTTTTTTTAAAGTCCGATCCTACACAAGTATCTAAGTAAGTAGGCTAAATAACTTTAAACTTTAATACAGGACCAAAGGCTCATTCTGGGTCCTACAGACTCGTTCTGGGTCCTACAGACTCATTCTGGGTCCTACAGACTAATTCTGGGTCCTTCCAGGTCCTACAGACTAATTCTGGGTCCTACAGACTCATTCTGGGTCCTACAGACTCATTCTGGGTCCTACAGACTCCTTCTGGGTCCTACAGCCTCATTCTGGGTCCTTCTGGGTCCTATAGACTCATTCTGGGTCCTACAGGCTCATTCTGGGTCCTACAGACTCATTCTGGGTCCTACAGACTCCTTCTGGGTCCTACAGACTCATTCTGGGTCCTTCTGGGTCCTATAGACTAATTCTGGGTCCTACAGGCTTGTCCCGATCCGATATCTGGACCTTATTGGCCGCCGATATTCGCAAAAAATCCGCAAGAAAATGCCGATCCAGTCTTATTTTTAAGTCCGTTCCTACACGAGGAACTTAGTAAGTAGGCTAAATAACTTTAAACTTTAATACAGGTCCTATAGACTCATACTGGGTCCTACAGACTCCTTTTGGGTCCTACAGACTCATTCTGGGTCCTACAGACTCATTCTGGGTCCTTCAGACTCATTCTGGGTCCTACAGACTGATTCTGAAAATGCAGATGCAGACTCCAGATCCAGTTTTATTTTAAGAGCATTAGCATTAGCATCTCCTAACCCACAGGTCTGTGTCCTAACCCTTAAATTGTTATCAGAGTAAACCCTTTTTCAACATGAGTCGGACAACTAAGTAAGTAGATAAATAACTTTAAACTTTAATACATGCTCTGATAGGCCGGGATCGGTATCGGAAATGGAAGGGAAAAAAACATGGATTGGGACATCCCTAATCTGAACACGCTAGCATTAAAGTGGGAGGGGGCCTGATCCAAAACACGGCGGCCATCTTTGAAACCGCCATATTGGATCAAGGGGAGGTTTTCCCAATGGGAAGGGGGTCATGCAGCACATCAGAGAAGAGCAGAACTCACTTGATTTACAAAATTGTAACCTTTTTAAATCCCTAGTCAACAGCCCTGTTTATTAGCTGAATTAGACTCTTTCTGGATTTGAAGTTGACTCTTTATGAGGCTTCAGAGTGAGCATCAAACCTTTAATCCCAGTAGGCTTCAGCGGGGCGCGGCCGGGCCAGGGGGCCCCCCCGGTCAGGAGCATGTCTCTGGACGGGGGCATGGGCCCCAGCCCCTCCAGACCGTTCCCCCCCCAGCACAGGACCAGCCCCTACGCTCTACTACAGCAGCAGCAGCAAAGCATGATGGGAGCCCACAAGGCCAGGATGGCCAGCTCAGGTGAGGCAGAGACAGAAAAAACTGGAAAAAAATAAGAAAAATTAGTTTTTATGCACGGCAGGTCCCGAAAAGTTAGCCGTTAAATGGAAAATATCATCTCTGATTTGACAGAAATTGTTGTGAAAAGTTCGTATAAGTGTTTTTCTCCTTAACTCATTGGCTGCCAAAGACGTCTATAGACGTCTTTTATGTTTTTCAATGCGAGTGGCTCGGGGGACGATCTGCTAAAGCTTGTCCGTAAATATCAGGCTTCTAGACAGAGTATGTAGTAACAAATTGACCCTCTAGGGGGCAGTGA